TTCACTGTAACTCGCCCGTAGACGACTTCCTGTGGTTCATGATGGACTCATCCAGACAACAGGAAGTGAACGTGGAGGCTGTAAAATCAGAAGACGAGCAGGTTTCTGACTTTAAAACGTGAAGTCTGACTGTAAATAAAAGCGGTGACTCATGGCGTCCTCCGAGGCTCCCCGACAACATAAAAACCCTTCAACTGCTCGTACCGACACGACGGTCGCGTCTCCTCCAGATCGATGCGGCGCGCCCCCCTAAACCCTCCCCCACGTCGCTCATCGGTTCCCGGCTGAGTCCCGGGCAGCTGGAACATTAAGACGCGTTGAGCGGCAGCGATACTGCAGTAATGAGCGCCGCTGCTGCTGCTGCTGCTGCTGCTGCTGAGAGTAAGAGGGGATAAATAATGGAGAGCCTCTGTAACGCTGAACATCATCTATTATTTACTCAGACCTGAGAGAGGTGGGAGCGCTGAGAAGAATGGCCGCCGTTCGGCTCGACGGCTCCTCTGATTTGTCGCATTTATATACGGTGATGTTTGGAGGGAGAGAAGTGCCATAAGGAGAAAAATCACAGGAGTCAAACAAACGCTAGACGGAGAAATAACGGCAGAGAGCCGACGGCGAGGAGAAGTTAGAAACGACATCAGCAGCCTCAGACGGAGAAAGTTTACGATTTATCACAAAACAGAACGAATCAGTAGAGTTTCAACTTTCCGACAGTCCTCGAACTGTTCATCCGCCGTTCAATCAGAAAACCGAACTTGAGCTTAAACTCAGGATCAGAAATAAATCACGTGTTTGACTTAAAAAACTGCCAAAAACCAACCGTTTGTTCTGCTCAGATTCTGTAAAAAACTACAAATTTTGCGCTTCTCGACGCAGCGAGGAAACTACCGGAGACTCGGCTGAGAGCGACGGTCACGTCGCAAAAACTCAGAGACTTTCTGGGCTGAACTGCAGGCAGTGTTCATACGGATAGGAGACGAGGAAACAAACGAGACCGATTCAGAGAATAAAAAACACTTCATACGTTAAATAAACGCAGCAGCAACATTCACAGCTACATGGAAAAATAACGGCAGACAGTCGAGGAGAAGGAGCCGACGTCGGAGTGTTTCTCGGGGTAGAAGTTTGCGAAGTGACGAGCTGCATCATCCGACCGTCGCAGCCTCGGACGTCTGCCGAGCGTCGGACACAAAAGCTTTGTGGGATTGAGCGCCGGAGGCCGAGGTGACACTCTGGGTGATGGAGTGTCGGCGCCGAGGTGTCCAGGACCCAACCGGAGATTGCAGAGGTGACTGTCGGTGACAAAACTGTCACATAAGCAATAATGTTCCCCGAGACGAGCAACGGACGACGGAGCGATGCCTCAAAGTGACGGCTGGAAGCGGACCAACCTGCAGACGTGTCGGCGGCTGAACTCCTCGAGGCTCCGACCGACCAGCTCCAAACTTCTTCAAATGGTTTCTGTGAATTTCTGTGAGAATCTAAAAACTCATCTTGTCCTGAACGCTGAGGATCTTTATTTCTGTTTGTGCGACTCCATCTCAGGTCATTTTTAGAAGAACTTCTGCTTCACTGGAAATCTTTTAATTTTTAAGATTTTTGTGGACATTTCAGCTTCATATCACTTCGTTTCATCTCAAACCATCAGACGTCTTCTGCTCTCTGATCTGCTTTTATCTCAACTGTTAATAATCAAAATGGTTTTCTGTGAAGTTTCAGCCTGATACATTGAATACTTTATGAGTTAAAATATTTTCAGCACCTTTTTTTTCCTTTTTGTAAAGTTCAGCCTGTTTGAATATTGGACAACATCTCAGGATCCGTTAAAGATGAAAACCTGAAACTTTCAGACAAATT